ACAGGGCACTGAAAGAGACAGGGTTCATTACGTATGACAAAAGACAGAAGTATTTGGAACTGTTTAGCTGAAAGAATAGAATATGGTAAATGTGATGATAGTCCATAAATATGAAAAAGTTTTTTGTCAGACAGAAGTGATGAATACATCTGTGTCCATAGTGTGCTAGATAAGTAAAATGTGTAGTTTCAATAGTAAAGATTCAATTTCTTCCCCAGAAAATTAGCCTCTATTCCAGCCCTTCACTCTCCCAACACAGGTGACATGGGCATCAACTCTAACCTGGTATTTTTAACAGGTGAAAGAAATGACTGTTAGGAATAAAGGTATAATAGAGGCTACTGAAGTACTTCTGAAAGTCCCTTCCAGTATTGTATCTGTTAAAAACCTGGCATGTACACATTCATACACAGACCAAGAGCTAGAGAGTAAGGGCAATGAAAGCATGAGGAGAAATCACTTCTCTGAATTTTCTACAGATTTCCTTAACTGTGGTAGAAGCACACAGGAGGAATAGAGCTAACTTAAGCTTCTAACTATTATTTGGTATTAGGGGACGAATATGTGCCTAGCTTCTCCAATTTGGGCTGGCAGTCAGGTTTTCTACCTTCAGGAAAACACTGAAAAATCATATCTAACAACTTATTCCAAGCAATAACCCAACATTGCTCATTCTCATCATTAGCTACTGTTTTATCCCCAGCTACAGTGATTAACATGCATCCTTTTGAATTAGGCAGGCACATGCCTTTGGAGTACAGCAAGAAGAAGGGATTAATACTCCTCTAAGAGAACACTTTTCAGAAATTAGTAGAGACAAAGGAAAGCCTTGGCTAAAACACTACAGTTACTGCAAACTAACAAAAAGGATGAGGCTGGGTCAGAAACAAGTTCCTCCACCTTTGCTTTACAAAGAACACGTGTTTTGTGTTTTCTGTTTGAGAGTCTGGTATTTTTAAGAGGGGTATGCATGAATGTGTTTGAATTCAGAGGTTTTCAAACCAACAAGGAGATGCCTTGGGTCTATTTTATATAAACCAATATACTACCCAAGTTTTTTACAGCCATCATACTACCTAATTCAGAGGACAAATTACAAATCAGATATTCTGATGCAGGGCTGAAACCCTGCAGAGATCATATAGATGGCGGAAGATGGTGAAATATGGGAATAGATGGTAGAGGTATGCCATTGTATTTCAAGAAAAGTGGTTGCTTCCTAGGACTATAACAAGTATTTAATGAAAAATCCAGAAAGATACAGAACATTAGGAAACATTTAAAATCCAGATACCTGGGTCTTTTATATAGTATATATGCCATCTAGAAAAGGGATTTCACTGCCTTGTGGAAAGTTCATCCCAGAGCAGAAATCGTGTCAGAGGTAAATGTGGTAAGTGACAGGTGAAATCAAACAGAAACAAACATTGAGAGTTAACATCAAAGGAAGTTTGGAGTGGTATTTA